GCCCTTCCCGTTGACTTGGGAGCTGCCTGCGTCCTCCGGCGAAGCCGCTGAGCACAGGGAGAGGATGAGGAGGTCTGAGCGCCGCCCCCGTGTCTTGGGGCTGCATGGAGTCCCCGAGGGCCCGGCTGGGCATCAAGAGCAGCCCCCGGCGGCGGCAAAAGGTGCCCTGGGGCCCAGCGGGGCCCCAGGAGGGAGCCAGGCCTTATTTACGCAGTAATTCAGGGTTCATTGTAATCCAAAGGGAGATTTTTGCAATGCAAAGGGGGCTGTGTGGAATAGAATACATTTTATGTATCGCTAGTGTATGCTATGGCTGTATAACTTATCACTCATCACATAGGCTGGATTGTGAAACTCAGCCTTTCAAGCAGACTCCGGCTCTCTGATCATGTCACTCAGGCTTTACCTCTCAGATCATGAATAAAAAGAATATATTAAAAAAATTATGCATATAAAAATTTATATATAACATATGTAAAATAATATATTACACTTATAGTATTTTACAGTCATCCCCATTTTGCAGAAAAGAATACAAAAATATCTTGATTCATGCAGAAAAGGTTTTTTCTAATTGCTAAAAGAAGCAAACATTTGGGTAGACACCTAACTGGTCATTTCTGGTTGCCGTTTATTTGATCTTCTGAAGCACCTGCACAGCACGGGCCGATGGGCACCTCTACAGGAAGCCTCCCTCCAGGCCCAGCAATGAGGCTGCTAGAAGTTCATCGGCTCCCATAAGGTGCTGCTGCTGCCAGAACTGCTCAGCATGACTGCAGCACTGCTGGGCTCTGCTCATCTGAGGGGCAGAAGCCTAAAACTTGGTGCTGAGGTTGAGGAGCACCAGTGCTGCCATGAGGAGGAAGCACCTTCTCTTCCTTCTACCTCTAGGAGGTCATCTAGTTTTGCTTGTTCTGTCATTTACAGCCTGTTGTAAATTAATAATCGGACGCAATAATAATGAAATTAAAGTAGTGCCTAGTGAGGTGGGATGAAGTGGTTAATGTTTGTTACATACCCTGGTCCGGGACTTTGCTCCCCTGACAACACCCGCCATTCTCTAGGTGACACTGCAGATAAATGATTCCCTGCTGCGAGGAAAACAAGTGGTAAAGTGATAAATATTTCAATCACTGTCGATGGGATAACGTGTCCCTTGGGCAGCTCGAAGATTAGGCGCTTGTATTAGTTGACTGCAGTTCTAAGAGCATGTGCTGGGACTCGTTCTGAGAAGCTGGGTTCTGCGGGCAGTGCCAAGACTGGCAATCTGCATCTAACGAGGCTTTCAGGACATGTCCAAGGTGCCTTGAAGAAGTGCGGCCCTTTCTGTAGTTCAGATGCCGCCCCGGTGCCTAAAGGCACCACTGAGGGTAGCTGAACTGCTCTCTTGGTAGGTTGGTTTTCAGCATCAACGTTGCTGGTGAGAATGGTCACAGTGGGAGAGGAATGCAGCAGGAACGCGCTTAGAAATCACTATGGGTGTTTGGCAAACCAAAATGTCTGACAGTGTTGAAATTAGCAAAGCTATTTTAGCAATTCTCCTGCCAATATTTACTCTGGTAAATAAGAATTTCCTTTTTATTGATATAATTGCAGTCAGCAAAATGTTTTGTAGAAAGAGAAGTTTTGTGGATTGTGTCTTTCTACATTTTTCTCTCTGATGCTGTAAATTTAATTGAGACTGAACAAGGGTCTCTACTTTGACTGGGCTTCTTTCATTCAATTTGAGCAGTATGATAACATCAAAATAATGTGAGAGTAGTGGCAAAGAGCTTGCACTTGAATATAGTCTCTTGGGTCTCAGTAGCAGCAGAACTTGTATTTACATAGGCATATAGTGGTATAGGAGCCACCATCACTGATGGTTCTATAACATCAGTAGCTTTTCACTTTCTTCGTATAATAGTAAGAGCTTATTGGGTTAGCAATACTAACAGCAGCCTCTTTTTTTCCCTTAAACAATCAAAAAACCTCAACAGCTCCAAAAATAATAGTCACCCTGGAGTAGCTATTGTAAAGATGGTAGCTGTATAACTGTCAGTTTTGAAAATGCTGTTTAGGGACTTCCACAATTTATTTGCTGAATGATGAGGGAGACTGTCAAAGTGTAAAAGATTTGGAAGCAAACTCTGCAGTGTTCAAAGCTACTCGGCTTGTCATAAGAGCGGTAGCAGCGCCGCTAAATCCTTGGTGATGTAAATAGCTGTCAGCTCTCAATTAAGTAGGGATCTCTGCGTAGTAGTGCCTCACCCTGCCTCCTAAGTGAGGAGCCCGTTGCTTGCAGTCTGTACGGAGCGCATTGCCAGTTTTCAGAGCACATCTAGGGAGCAGAGCAGGGGCGAGAAGGTCTCCCGCCGTGTGCTGCCGCTGAGCTGCTCCGCGAGCCCTTGTCCTGGCCTCGCCGCCGTGAGCACGGTGCTGGTGGATTAAAACAGAGACTGAGCAAACCTTCTGCAAGAACTCAATTTTAAAAATATGCCTTCCATCGCAAAGATGCCATCAACCCAAACGAATGATACTTTATATTCCCGGGACAGATCATTAATAGTTTTTCGATCAAAATGTGATTGTAATAACCCTAACCTGTTCCATACATGCAAATAATTACAATGCCATCATCAAGAAAGGAAAGAAGTGAAGCATTTGATACAGAGGTAGCTTAAACTGATTTCAGCAGAGACTCTGTAAACTGGGGACAAATGTTTTCTATAAAGCTGCTCTTTTTGAACACCAGCATTTATGAAAGTCGCATCCACTAAATCTGTGGGTCTATCTTATGAATGTTTTATCTAATTCCAGCTTTGCTAGCACGTCAGAGGGCTGCGTTTTTGGTAGATTTCCAGTTGTCTGGTATAAATCCCATTGCCTATTCATGGATGAAATCTGAACAAGATGGAAGATACTGTGATGAGTGGAATTACCTTTTGGCTTTGATGAGCTGGTCTGGAGTGGGAGGGAGGAACAAAATTCTGTTATAGATAATTTTCTCTCCTCGGTTTTATTTATTTCCTTTCCCTCCGCTCCAACCTTATGCTCTTCTCCGGGCACTTGGCAAGTCCACAAGTCCCATTAATGCTGTTCCTTGGCTGAACATGAAACGCACGTTTTGCTGAGCTAACTCCTCCCTGTCTTGCACCTCGCTGCTATGCCTGGATCCTGTTGGCGCAGCACCTGGGATCGTACATGTTCTTGGAATATCCCAAGGGAAATCCCTTCAAACTTCTTATTTTCACACGACCTTAGGATTGTTTTTTCAACTTATTCCTTTTAACATATGAGTTTTGAAATTCATATTGTATTGGACTTTGGAGAGCTTTGCTTAGAGCAGGTGACTCTCTTTGTCTGGGCATGAGAAATCTTGCTGGAAACTATATGATATGCATGTACATACCAAGATGTAATTGGTCACTGGGCTTTTGACTTATAGACCAAATGCAAACAATGAAAAAACACCAAAGTTTAGCTCTCAATTGTCCTAGATGGTGCTCTCACAATAAATATAAGGCTTTGTACAAAGTTCAAGGTTCTTGTATTTAAAGGCTGAAGAATTGCTTTCTTGCTGAGTTAAAAGGCACAACATTACTATTGTAGATATTGTTATTTTTTATTAATTTAAAACATGTGAATAATTTGAACAATTGCAGAGAAGCGTCCATGCAAGTTGGTCAGTACGTAGGGTATATTTATGTACCATTGTAGTCTATACCACTTCTGCATTAACCAGCTCAAGCAAAAATATGCCGGACCAGTTAGGCCTTAGCACAATGATGTTGTGATTTATTGCACTCTCAGTTGCCATCCTGCAGCAATTACCAAAGAGTTTGATAATGGTCTGCAATTTATTTTCCAGCCCTGGGAGTAGCTGGCGGGAAGAGCCGCTCGCAGGAAGAGGCAGGGGCTGCTCTCCTGCCTTGCTGAGCCGGGCCGGGCACGGACAGCTCGGTGACAGACCTCAGACAATCTAGGATTAAGCAGCAGCCTCGTCACTGGATGAGAGCTGTTTCTTCCAGGATGGTGCAGTGTAACCTCAGGAGTGTAAAACTTTACTTTGGATTAAATGTCTGCAGAAGAGCTGAGACTGGGCTAGAGTAATGGCAGTGTCTCATACCTTCTCCATGCCAGCTCAGTTGTATTGATTTATTATTTAAGACATGACCTTGATCCCAAGCATCGAGTGACACACCCCCTGTTTTTAAGAGCTTGTAGCTCTAGCTATTGGTGGAGGTTCCTTATAATGGAATTTACTGTAAGCATCTGTTATAGTTATATAGAATCTTTATAATCCATGGGGTTAGAGCTGTTTCCTGTTTTAAACTGGTTTCTCGATGACCTCGATGTCAATGCATTGAAACTCGGTGCACGTTTTCCCAGTTTGAGGCTGCCCAGCTGTGACAGCTGTTGTGAGCTGTCAGAAACGTTCCCAGGGGTCTCGCTGCAAAGGACAGACACTGGTCATCAGATCTGAGATCATTTCAACCTTACTTAAAGCTTTTGGGTTTCCTTGGCTATCAGCAGAGTTAGTTTGATTCTCTTTATGGGAAAGAGCTTGCAAGAGGAAAATAAGTTGACAAAAGGTGTCATAGCCTAGATCTTGCTAAGTGTATAGGGCTTCAACAGTTAATCAGCTAAGGACATGAGATAACTCCTAAAGTTTCTGCAGCCTGAGAATTTTTTTATGTTTGTTAAGAAAAGGAAAAAGCTGGTCTATGTTTTTCCTTTAGAGGATGAAAGTGAGCTTACTCTGCTTAACTCTCTTTCACATACATTGCTTTCTGTCTCCCCTTCTTGTTCACCTTCTGGATTTTGTGCTGTCTAGAGCAAGGCCAGACCCCCAGCCTGTGCTCAGTACCTGGCATTCTGCAGGGTCAGTGATATTTGAGTAGTAACTGTGTGCTACTGAAGCATGGTAAATACTGATTATGTTCTTCCACCATTTTCATTCATTCCATATTAGGCTCAGCATCTGTGCTAAAATCTTCTTTTGCTGTGCTTAATTTCAGGGAGGACAGTTAAATGGTGTGCCCTCCTCAAGATGGACTGTGTTTGTTCCTGTCAGGCAGCTGGAGGGAGAGGAAGGATTCCTCTTAGCATTCCCATTGGTAAAAATTGGATCTCGCTCTGAACATAAGGATCTGGATCGCATCCATTAGCTGGGCTAAGAGCAGTGCCACGTCGAAGACCATGTAACAGCCAGGGAATTGCAGATGCCAGGCTCAGGTAGGTGAGGACCCTGCATTATTCCTTCTTTATTCTCTCTGCTTTCTTTCACACTGACTCTCCTGTTTGCCCTCCCGCCTGCCAACCCTGGAGTCGATAGGAGTCACAGTGAGTGTTCAGCAAGATCAGGAATATCAACTGCTGCAGGCACTCAGATGCTCTTTCACTTTGATGAGGGGACATAAGTATTTTTCCACCTGCCTTCTTCCCAGTACCAGCTGCTGCTTTGTTCTTTTCTTTGTAGCTCATTTAGCTCTTAAATATTTGTGAAGGCTTATACTGAAATTGCTTTTCGGTGAGTAACCAAAACAATCAAGTATCAATTATGACTAAGAGCAAGGTCCAAGGTGTCATTTGTTGCATTTCCTTGGTTCATCTAGAATAAATAAGAGCTTATCTGTGGGACTGTCTAGGTTTTGTACTGCTGTGATATCTAGAAACTATAGCCTAAGATCCTAGAGGAAACTTTGAACCCACTACGCTAGTTGAAACAGGTCTGTGGCCTTTGGCTCTTTAATCTTTCCCTTGGTTCTCTGTTAGATTTGAGTGTTTGCCGAGTAGTATAAAAGCCTGGAAATAGGATATTAATCTTGCAACTCTTCTTTAGATACTTTTCCCGAGGAGGTTATTACACATTAAACTTTGCCCATCAAGCTGAGCACAGAAGTATTTCCCACTCTTATTTACACTTTTACTCTGAATGAGAATGGAAGAAACTCTGCACTTTGCTGCAGCAGTCCCTGAAGCAGCAAAGCTCTATGAAGATTTCTTTGTCTGAATGACTGCATGCCTTATTCTCATCAGTAATCTGGCTTTGTACTTGCACAGAACTTTTCCAGGAAAGGTGTCAACATGTTTTGCAAGTTATAATTCACAACAAAAATACATACTTGTATTTTATTACTGTGGCTTCACAGGATAGGCTGTGCTTGAGCAGGGAGGAGGTTATGGGACTAAAATGGCCAGACTGGACTAAAATAAGAAGGAGCTCTTTGTTTGCTCTGTCATGGTCCTGCCACCCTTTTGAGGAAACCTGGATTGGAGTAGTGTTTGTACTTGGATTTGTAATGTTGAAAAAGGTTTAATTCTGAACAGATATGGATAAGTATTTCTGTGTTTTTATGGACAAAAAAAATTTTGGACTTAAGAATACGGTATGATTTAATTAAGGAGGAGTTGAAATTTTTTGAATTTCATATGTCACTTAGGATTCTTGGTGACTTTCAGTGATACGTAAATAGTGAAGTACCCAAATCAGTGTTCATTTGGGAAGTTCAGCTCAAACCATATATAATGCTTTTAGAAACTCTGCCCTAGATGCCAGCACTTTAATCTCTTGCCTGCATAATTCCTAATGGTTTAAGAATTGCAGTCAGAGCTCAGTAGATATGAAATCCAAACAAACAGAACAAATTAGTAATAAACAAGGTTCTTCCTATGTATGTGTTCATATAAAAATAATACTTAAGATTTATGTCTGGTAGCATTGTTTATCTTCAGCTGTGGTTGTGGAGAAAGTGGTTAGCAAAACCACACCCTGGTTATTCAATTAAATTTCAGTTTTGTCCTTTTTTTTAATAAGTAACGCTAAATAAGGCAAAGATAAACATTTCCCTTCATCTGCAGATGGATGCAGTATCAAGGATTCCTTAGAATCTTTAGGCATTGAAATTACTCCTGGTCTAAGGACAATAATACCGCTTTTTTTTTCTTTCTGTAATATTTTAAGACATAAAGAGAGCTGTCACTAATTCCTATAAACTGACTTTGGGCCTAATTCAGATCCAGATAATCACTGTGAGTTGGTCTGACACGAAAGCCTGAAATAACTTCTAGCTTTGGTGAGCAAGCCAGAACTAAATAATTCATCAGGTAAATGTGTGTGCGTCCTGGCAGGTGGTGTGTTCAACCTGTGCAGAGCAGAGCAGGTCCAGGAGAGCTGGGGATTCCCACTTGGCTTCGTGAGTCTGTGCTCACTTGCTCCTTTTTTGGTCTGACCCTAATACTTTGCTCCTGACAGACTTGCAAAGAGCAAACTGCATTTGCAAGTCTAATGGTGTGGTTGAAACTGGTAATTACTATATGCACTTCTGGAAGATCTGTAATATAATTAGCAGCTGCCGTGAGTTGCGAGATGACAATGAGAGAGGATTTATGTGCTTGCTTTTAACTTAAGCTCAGTTTACTTCGATAAATGCAATTCTGAGATAAGCATGAATGTGTATTGCGTCGGCCAATCTCATCCGTGACACTGAGATATGTATTACCTCTTTACTCCAATTACCAAAATATTGCTTTCCCTTTTACTCTCCTTTGATTTCCTTTCCAAGTGTTCTTTGCCGCCCTTGCCCAAGGGGTTGCAATTATCCCTACAGGTTAAACCTCATGATTTTGGGTGGGGAGGTTGTGTAAATGTGTTGCCAGTGTGGCGGTGCGGTGAATCAAACTTTCTGCTCTTACATAACTGCTTTCATTACAAGTCCCACCTGTGAGTCTGAGGGAGCCGTGGTTGATCAGGTAGGGAAAGGACAGAAACCAGGGAGCTGGAGAGCTCCTGCTGCTCCCTGCTCAGCACTGCTGTGTCCGGAGGCTCCATGCTGGGCTGCCTCCTGGTGTCTCCAGGCATCCTGATGTCCAGGCGTTGAGAGCGTATCCACCTGGACTTCCTACTGCCTAGGTCAGCTTTCCATAAATGAAGTACTTTCTTTTAGAGAAACATTTCTCATCTCTCTGGACTTCACTGAACAGAAACTGGCCAGAAGTGCAAGTGAATGGCCTGTGAGCCACTGACCTTGAGACTGAGACAGGAACTCGTCTTGCACCAGCTCCAGCTCTTGTAGGTTCTTCCAGAAGTCCAGAGGATTCTTGTTTCCCTAAAGGCCAGTTTCACCACAGCAGTGTGTGCTTTCTGACCCCAAAGTAGCATCCAGGTCTGTGGGAGGCCCTCACAGAAATGTCCTGCCTTTAGGCATGGTCACTGCAGTAGCAGCAGTGAGCTCTGTTTCTCTGCTGAGGTGAAGGAGGGAAAAGTTATGGAGTGTAAGGTCTTTTGAGGTCTATCTTGCCTTCCTCGCTTCCTGTACATGAAGATAGGCCTATTTTATTGCCTTTCCAAACCTCTCTGCTCAGAGGGGATCAAGATTTGCCCCTGTAGCCTCAGAGAAGGTGGAGTGAGCATCAGAATAACAAGACAACTGCACGACTGAGTGAAGCTCGTGAAAGCCCGTTTGCCTGAAACATCCTTCTTAGTGCAGTCCCTGCCCGAGGAGAAGCTCTGAACCTGCCAGCCTCCAGCACATTGCGCTGGTGTTTGTGCGGTTCAGAAACAGCTCTAGATGCACTGAGATAAACTCTTTGTTGGACCTCTCCTCTCTGTGTGGCTGGGCTCCCGTGAGGCACGAAGGCAGACTACGTGCTGGGCAGCGCCGTGCATCTCGGCTAGGTAATGACTGAAACACCAAAGATCATGACAATAATAATGATGATAATGAAGATGATAAAAACGAAATGATGTAATTGAAAAAATCACTCATGTTCGCTTTGCTTAAGCTGAGCAATTTAGAAAAAAATCCCGGTTCCCGAAAGTCAAATTGGGAAAGAAATTCCCAAACAGCCAAGTTAAAGGCAGGAGTATCATTTATTTAATTAAGGAGTTGCTATTCTGAGGGGAAAAGGAGACACTTCAGCTTATTGCTTTGAAGTTGCCTGAAGCACAGAGTGAGCTAAATGGTGATAATGTGGAGTTCTGGCTTTGACTCTGGGAAGGGAAAGGGAGAGGAAGCCTGGCATGCTCTTTCAGACATTTATAAAACACTTCTTTTTTTTTTTTTTTTTTAATAAGAATTCCTCAAGTACTAGAAGTTTATCAGTTATTCAGACAGAATTTAACTGTTTTTTAAAATGAGTTTTGACCTTATGCATTTTTTTCTGCTGTTTTTGATAGTATTATGAAAAAAAAATCAAAAAATCGTAGCCCAAATATCTTCTGGTTGACTCCAACAGTAGTAACATTACTGTCACTAAAAACTGCAGGACGATCCAGGGCTCCATCCAATGCACACTGAACTCTTTCCATTCAGATCAGATCTGTGGTGAAAAAAACCCCAGATGATTATGCAGTAAATTTAACATATTGCCTGCTGTGGGCAGGCATTTCAGTTGCCCTTGCATTTGTTTCAAAGCTCTGGTACAGGATGACTAGAACTCCATAAGACTAAGGCCTAAACTATATTTTTTTTACAGATTTTTTTATTAATATAAACTAAAAGGAGCAGGAAATTTATGAAAATACAGCCCACGTCAGCACAGTTTGATTTCTCAAATTGTCATCTTGTCTTAGTTCTGTCTGGAAGAGCCTCAAGAAGGCCCTATGGCCAACTTGTCAGCTCTAATCTTCCCTTCTACTCATAGCGGGTTTTTCATTAACACTTTTAAGACTTTTTTTATTTTTTATTTTTTTATTTTGTAGCCTACATGCTGAGGCAGCAGCCAGTTTGTTTCTCTTCCTCCTTTTCCCTCGCTTCTTGCTCTCTGTTACATGAGTGAGGTGGCTCTTCTGGCACTGGCGTCCACAAATCACGGCAAAAGGGATTGTTGCAGTTTTCATAAATGTGGTGTTACTTGAAAATTATAGACTGCAAATGCTTATTGCAGTTCTGCGCAATGGCTGTAAATTGGGCCCTGTATCTTTTTGGTGACAGTCAGTCCGGCAACAGGCCTTTTAGGAAATTGGAAGGGAAATTAAACAAGAGCAAGGGGGTGGCTTACCTTTTATCTTTGACATGCCTTCCTGAAATCCTTATCTATCATAATCAGGCGGAGATGTTACTGGACGGGTGGTGGATTTAGATGTTGCCTGGTTCTGCGGCTGCTGATCCTGCACTCTCTGAGGCAGGTTTGTTGACAGGCTCTGGTCACCCATGACATTTTCAGAGCGATGCAGCAGGACGACATGCCACAGTGGCTTACATTATTTCTCCATATTTAGTGTCCATTCTTTT